TTTTCCCCTCCAGGTCCTGGGTTGGCGTTTGTAGCTTACCCAGAAGCCCTCGCTTTGCTCCCCGGATCAGCCTTCTGGTCTGTCCTCTTCTTCCTGATGCTCTTCACTCTGGGAGTGGACACCCTGGTAAGCTGGGCAGGTGACCTTTGGCCAGAATCTGGCTGGTGTCCTCCTCCCTGCCCTTCCACCGGCAGTTGTGTTTTGGAGGCTGCTGTGCAACAGACTTTGTTAGATTGTGGTTTTGTAAGCAGATCCATTTCATACGGGCTTAAACCAGGGGTCCCCAAACTATGGCCCGCGGGCTGGACCTGGCCCATCGAGGCCTTCTTACCAGCCCATGAAGTCTCCTGCCGCCACCGCCGCAGCTCATGTGCACCACCGCGCACCATTTTGTATTCCGAAATGGCATGCACACGACTCTGGATGCCATTTTGGTTGCTAAATACTAACACAGTACAACCCCCAATCACATTGGCAAACAAAATGGCGCTCAAGTAGTGCACATGCATTCACGCCACTGACCCCCCCAGAAGATCTGGGGGCCAGTGTACCGGCCCCTGGATGAAGAAGTCCGGGGACCCCTGGCTTAAACCTTCCTGTTAGTCCTGGCTAGAGATGAACCATTGAATAGTTTAGATTGACCCATGTGTTGATTCACCATTTGTCAATTAGCTGAATAATTCTACTCTAGTTGGACTAATCGATTGGATTCCAGCCTTGCAGATGCACATTCTGGGATGGTACATAACTCTTCACCAGCTCCTCCAATGTCCCCCTTGACAGTGGCATCACTAAGGTTGGCATCACCCAGTGCAGTAAATCATGGTATCCACCACCCCCAACCACAACCATAAAGAATCCGTAGTACCATAGTCCCTCCACATTTGCTGAGGTTAGGGGTGAAGGATCCCTGTGAATAAAAAAACACTGTTATTTTTACCAAAGAGAACGCCTCTCTAGGAACCTCCAGGTCCTCCAGTGCAACTCCGTGGTCAACATCCGCCAGAGGCTGAGCATGGAATCATGCTGGAGGACCTACAAATGCCTAGAGAAGTGTTTTCTTTAGGGACTTCTAGGTCCCCCAGAACAACTCTATGGTCAACTTCTGGCAGAGTTGCGCAGGAGGACCTAGAAATTCCTAGAGAGAACATATTAATCAAAACCGCAAATAATCAAAGCTGTAAAAGTCAAAGCTGCAAATGCGGAGGGCCAACTGTAATAATTTTTGTACGAATGTTACTCGTAAATCGTAATTCCTGCATATCACTAAATGTAACGGTAATAGCTGTGACATAAAATAACTAGCAGAATTAAAATTATACCTTTAAATTACAATATCATGAGCACAGTCTAAATGTATTTACATTTGCAGAGTTTCATGGGGTTAAAGTGAAAATTTGGTAAAATGTTATGTTTTTAAAGAAAAGTTTAAAATAATTTTTTTTTAAAAAAAATAATTTTCATTACAAACAAACAAACCCTAATGCCTCTCCTTTCTCCTCTCACTGACCCCACTCGCACCATCAATTTCGCTGAGCTCCAGCATTTTAAAGGGATGCAGGTGGATGCCACAGCTTGTTTCTGCCAACAGGCAAATGTTT